TATTTTATCTAAAGACCCGTTTAGCAGGCAGGTCCCAGCATTCCTGAGCCTGACACATGCACGCCGTGTGCCCAGCCCCTACAAGCTGGCACAATTTCTTCTCTGGCTCTTGCCACATCTTGAATATTGTTGAAGAGAGAGGCAGAATAGGAAAATGAGAATAAAACGAGCTTTTCTCAGCTGTCCTTTGCTCCTGTGCAGGGAAAGCGGTGCTGCCTTGTGGTCCATCTCCCCACATCAGGCAGAGGTGAGCCCTGCTTTGAAAAGGGACAGATCAGAGAGCTCCCTGCAGGTCTGGGGAAACGGAAGCATGAGCAGCATCCGGCACCCAAACCACCCTCAAAGCAGAAAAGGAGTGAAAGTGAGGTGCTCGCCCAAGCTCCTCATGCCCTGCCAGGGTGCGATCGTCACCCAGCCACCACTGCGACCCGCCTGTCCTGGGACAGGCCCCCGGAGCTGTGGGCAGAGCCAGCGTTGCCTCTCCCCGAGCTACCGGGACCTGCGGGATTATCTGCTTAGCTGCACCATCTGTTCACCAAACTGCCATCATTATGTTCAACTTGGGAAGAAAACGGCCCCTACAGAGAAGCAATTTGTTCGCTGACTAAACCTTTCAGGCTCTCGCCGGCCAAACCTACCCTCGCCACTGCACGGGCGAGCTCCATGCTCGCGTCCGGCTCGCTTAAACAATCTGCAGGGAGAGTGGCGGCGTGCAAGCTGGTCGCGCTGGTAAATGGGAGTGGGGAGGGCGCAGGGCTCCCCTAATCCGATTACAAAACATAACAGCCTTTCAGAGGGGCCAGGGGCCGGGCAAAGGGAGGAGGAGGGAGGTCCATTTCACAACCGACCCCTACATCTGGGGGTCTCGCAATGATCTCACTGGAGGGGCTTTTCTTCCCATCGCAGTGGGTTGCTTTTGAAACGTGCTGCGAGGAAATCAAAAAGGGGAAAGGGGCTGCCTGGGAAAAAGGAGGAGAGGGCTGGGAAGGAGGTGAGGTAGAAGGGGGTAGCATGGGGCTGGGGGTGAGCCCTGCACCCCAGGCTGGGGGTGGTGGCCGGAGCCTGGCACCCCCCTTGCTGGGGCACCAGCCCTCGTGCCGCTTCTCCTTCTTGCGCCCCTCCTCTGTGACACGGCACCAGGGAGCGGTGCGTGCCACGGGGACGTGGGCATGTGGGACGTGTCCTCCCCTACGACCTGAGTGTGGAGTGGGGCTGGGGTCTCTGCACGGAGCAGGGACAGCAGAAACCCTCCCCAGTGCCTGTGGTGGCAGCAGGAAGGGAGCTGTGTGGCCCGCTTCCCTCTGTTTTGGCGTGGAAATTCAGTGGCACCAAAGCTTTTAGCGAACGTGCTGATTTTGCCAGGTTTTTTGTAATGAACCACTAAAACCAAGTTGAAAGTCGAAGTGGTGGTTCGACTTACATCAAAGTGAGAAATTCTGAATTTCTGCTGTGGGGCAGCCCTTCAGACTCACGATTTTCTCTAATTTGATTTAATTCATTTTAGAAAGGATAAAGAGCCCTGTTTAAAAGTGAGGTTTTATGGTCAGCCTGCAACCAAATGATTTTTTTTTTTTTTTTTTTTGCATCTTTGATGCAATTGTTTAAAAACATCTATGTGTTTCAGCAGCAGCAGGTATTAGAACAAGATGGTCCTGAACGTGGCCACTTTGGTTGGGCAGCAAACCGCTTTACCCCAAACCTCGCTGCTGCACTGGCCCGGGACCCCCTGTCCCCTTCTGCATGCGATGGCGCTGTGTCCCCCTCCCTGGGGGACAGTGCTGGCAGCTGGGGACACCTGCACCCGTGGGACCCCACATGGCGAGCACCAGAGTCTGGCGCTGGAGGTGTGAAAGCATCTGGTAACTGCCCCTGGCCTTGCGGGAGGTGGGTTCCCCCCAGATCTCCTCCCACTGGGGACCCCCGGCATGGCCACCATTGTCCCTCTGGGAGCCCTTTGGGGCTGTGCCCCTGCTCCAGGTACTGTGGGCCCCTCCTTGGCTTTGCTCAAGCTGCCGCGTTCCCAGGGTGCTCGAACCTGCTCCCAGGCAGGAGGTTTGGGGAGGGGAAGGCAGGGGTCACCTTTGTGCTGGGGATTCTGGTGTCACCCTGGTCTTGTCTCCAGGTGCTGACTGTCCTGGGCTGTCGCACTCTCTGGTGGCCAAGGCTCCAGTAGGGCATCCTTGTCATGGGGGAGGGGGATGGCAATAGGGATGGAGCAACCCAGGAAATCACTGCATGGGCACTAGTCTTGGGGGTGAAGGGGGGTCCTGGGGGCTTTACTTTCCTCCCTGGAAAGAAACCTGAGGGAAACTCCATCAGCAAAGCTGGGCAAATGCTGTGCGAATTCACTGGCAAATCCTGAAGCTGCAAAAGATCTACGTGTTTTAATTGTTGTGTGCAAAACTGTCCACAGAAAGTCCTTGCTGCTTCCTGTGGAGCCTGGTACACTCCTTCCCTGATGCAGTCCCCCTCTTCAGAGAGCAGTAGATGGGGAAACTGAGGCACCAAGCAGCGAGGGGAAGTGGTTGAGCCAAGTCTGGACGCCCTGAGGGTAAGCCAGGTTGCTCCCACAGCAAGCACCCATATTGCTGCCGCATCTCTTCACCCTCCAAAGGCCCTTGGGCACCTGACTGCTCCCAAAACCTTCGGGACCAGGACCTGACTCCCTCATGGGGACAAGCCTGGCTGTCTCCAGAGCAGGCTGCTGGGAAATTCAGGCTGCTAGAAGCTGTCTAGCACTGGTGATGCTGGCAGAGGGTTGAGCCCGGTGGTGCAGGGGTCACTGGTGGGTCGGGGTCGTTAGACCAAGGTGCTGGTCCCTGGCTCCTTTCTGCTTGCTCTGCAGTTGCATCCTTCCTCAGCCACCTGCGCCAACGCAGAGGGACAGAAATGGGCCCTGCTTGGGGCAAAGCAGACGGGATGGGGGGGCACCTGGGTGGCTTTAATGAAGCTGTCTCCCACCCTAAATGCTGCTGCAGGAGGAGTGAGGGGATCAGCAGCCAGGGAAGCATCCAACCCCTGCTGCTGCCTGAGCCCCATAAACCCCTTTTTTTTTTTTTTTTCCCCACCAGAACCCCCCCCCCAGCTTTACCTCCCAGAGGACCGTGTTTTCCAGGTTCCGTGTGTCCGGGGGAGATTTCAGCCCTTTCGTCTTCAGGATGGCTCCTGAGGATGCCGAGAGCCGTGCGAGGGCGTCTGAGAGACCGGCCCAGCCCGGCTCCTCTCGCCGGGCTTTCCCTGACATCTAGCGGCAGCGCTGGGCTGGGCTGCGCGGAGCCCCAGCCCC